GTGCCTTCTAAATACAAACTAAGGTTTTTGGGCCAGATTAGGACCATGCGGAAAAAGTAGATCTTTGCGAGGGCTATTGGAATCCAGAAAGAAAAATGGGGGTTGCCACTCATTTTTCCGAGATGATAATTGGCCTTGAATCTCAAAAAATGCTGATGTCAGCATTTTTCTGAAAAAGAAGGAAAGGATATTTCTTCACAGATTTCCTAAGAATTCACCCTTACATACAGAAAAGCAAACACATTTATAAATGGTAACATAAAAACATTTAAATGGTAACATAAAAACCACTTTCGGTATGTTTAAAAATAACAAAATCATTGCAACAGCACTTCTAGCTTCTCTAACAGCCTTCCTCTGATTCAGCTAAAATACAGTCTAAATAGCTTTTCCTCACAACCAGAAACTAATCACGTGTTAATTAGGCTTACCACTGTCATTTTAAAGCATAAAATATAGAGGTAACCATGCATTTTTTAAAGTTATTCATCTTTCTTGAAAACTTCTATGGTGCTCGTTGCATTTTTTCCTGTCATCTTCCCACTATGCACCATTTGCGCCTCTGATCTCGCACTTGTTTTGCATGTGCGCTAGCTACGCCATCTGCAGGTACATGTTTACAGTTGGATTTCAGTATAATTTTTTCAACAGATAACAGCTAATTTTTCAGCTGGAAGCCATTAATAGTGGTTAGGGATAAACTTCTACTCTGGTATTCCTGGTTTTAGCACAGGTTCATTTAACTTGATTTGGTCACAGTAGAAAAATTATTCTTTCATTTTAGTCGCATACTTGGTAGCATAGCTGATTAAGTCAATGCCAACCCTAATGCGTGTGGCTGTTAAACCATGCCTTACGTGATGCGCAGAACATGTGCGCACTTACAAAAGTAGGCACCGTCCTTAAGGTCAGATTGAATTTCAACTGAAAATACTATTTTTTGAAACATAACTTATAGTTACAGTACATGATTGTATTTGAACTCTTTTGTTTGACATGTTTTAGGTTTTTTTTTCTGAGGCAGCTTCCTCTCTGAGCTTTACCAAAGGCTTCAAATCTTGATCAATCAATGGGGGAGCGGGAGTACTAATATAGCCCTCTTTTTACAAAAAAAACCCTTTAAAATCCAAATAATTTTTGCGGAGTTCCTGGTGTTCTTGAGCTTGCTTTGGATAGATTTCCCAAATTAATCACCAAGAGACTCATGTTTCGAAAAATTTGGTCACGTGATTAATTTACTGCTGAAAAAATAATATTATTAACCAAAATATAAGAGGAAATTCCCCCTTCTCTTGTTGTAGTAAAAAAGGTTCATTAAACTGAACCCTTACTTTGAGTACCTCTCAATTTGCCATTTGCCAATTACATATGATAATTATGATAAATATATCATAATTTGTGACATTATTATAATCTTTTAGCTCTAATCTTACAGTATTAACATACCAGTAAGAAAAATGCAAGAGGAACAAGATTTGTAGGAAACGAACAATATGGAATCTGTATGTATTGAATAAATCCTTCAGACATCTCACAACTATTAGTTGACTTGACAAAATGGCAGCGATTTTCTGAGCCATTTAAATGGTGTAAAGAGGAACATTCCTGCAATATTATCATGAAATAAAAAATCAGTCACATCTTACCTATGTGGGTATTCATTTCCAGCCTGGAATAAGTGCTATACATAGTGAATATTTATGTAAGATGATGTCACTTAAGATAGTCCCCCATTGCAAGGTTTTAATCCCTAAGAGTTAATTATAAATTTGCTGGCACCCAGTTGTATGGGTTATTACAGAAAATATCCATACCACACCACAGGCAGCATAGGGGGGGGGGG